TGTAGGTCAAAAACCCTTGCTACATGTACTGCGTTAGACTTCACTTAGACCAAGTCGTTAGACTAAGTCGCTGTGGATAAAAGCATCTGCAAAATGATAAAATGTAAATAAAAATATGAATTTATTCGAGACCTACTAACAGCGCATGCACGTAAAATATCCACTACGTAGTGGATATAGTCCAGCTATGTCATCGTGCTGCAGGCTGCAGCGAGGACAGACTCCAATCGTCAGCAGTTAAAGAGGTGGCGGAGGGGGGCAAAGGAGAATATTGAATGTTTTGAAGAGTTTGCGTGTGTCTGATGCGCTGTTGATCTTGTTATGGAAGAAGATAGTTTTGGCAGCGTGGACTTTGGTGGAAAATAAAGATAGCAGTGACTGATACCTGCTGAGATCAGCTGAATATTTTGATTTGCGCCATTTTCTCTCTGCTGCCCTGAGTTTAGTCCGATGCTTACGGGGACATCAGTTAACCAGGGGTTGGAGGGAGTAGCACAGGGGCGTAGATTACGCGGGGGACGTGTCCCCCCCCACTTAACATTTCTGTCCCCCTCACTTCTGAAATGATGGCTACGCCCCTGGAGTAGCACGTGTTGTCTGGAGGAAATAGGACCGATATTGTCTAGGCAGCTAGTTAGGGTAGAAAATACCATATCTGTGGCACAATTCACATCTAATGATGCGAAGTGTGCAGGGGTGGGAAGAGCGGAATGTTGAGAAGGAGACCTTAGGTTTCGTCTAAACGAAACTGGCAGAGGGGTTGGTGGTGCGGAAGAAGGTAGATATAAATTAAAAGTAATAATGATCTGAGACATGCAAGGGTTTGACCAAGATGTGTTATCTGTGATACAATTGTGTGTAAAGATGAGGTCGAGTTGGTTACCTTATTTATGGGTATTTGTGGTGTTTAACATGTTATTTACATAAACAAAAATGTGAAGGATAATGGAATACATGAGGTATTTTCTCGCTATGTTTGTCTTCATGTGCTCACTCCATATCCTGGTTGCAGGTATCTCATCTTCCTGCAGATCAAAAGAGATCTGTACCACGGTCGTCTCCTCTGTAAAACATCGGACGCGGCCATGTTGGCAGCTTACATCTTGCAAGGTAAAGTAGAAATAGAAATAGAAATTAATACCTAATACAAAAGCTGCGTGATGACTACCATTCAAAAGTTTGGGGTCAGTAAGATTATTTTATTCAACAAAATGGTGACTAGAAATATATCATAGTTTCCACAGAAATATTAAGAAACCCAACTGTTTTCAACATTGTTAATAATAAGAAATGGTTGTAGAGCCACAAATCAGAATATTAGAATAATTTCTGAAGGATCATGTGACACTAAAGACTGGAGTTAAGGCAGCTGAAAATTCAGTTTTGTTAGCACAGGAATAAATTACATTTAAAACAAATGGATTTAGAAAATAATTATTTTAAATTGTAATAGTAGTTTTATTGTATTTTACAATATTACTGTTTTTACTGTAATCTAATTTATCTAATTAAATAAATCTAATTTATTTCTAATATACATTTTTGGAATCTTTAAAAAAATATATTTAATTTGCATACTTTTTTCCTTGAAGTTCCAACATTATTTTGAAACCTAGAATAAATAAATGAATGAACTCAAATCAAGTTCTAGTCTACAGAGATGTTTGAGATTCAGTCACATGAGAAGGGAAAATAGCGTCTCTGAGGGCAGGATGCACAATAATGTTCTTTGACAGGTTGATCAGGGGCATGCTTTGGACGACACTTTTGAATTAAAGATGCACTGTTCCATTACCTCAGAGCACAGAGCAATGGTCAGGACTCAGGGATGCTTATGGGTTTCAAGTGCAGAAGCAAACGGCATATTGAAAATGCCACAAAACCCCACATCGTGCCTGCAAAGAGAACAGATGGCTCCCAACACTTCCATTAACAGAGGATGTTCATTAAGACAACACGTTAACATGCCCTAAAATGCATCTGAGTGACATGGTTGAATGATGAAAGATTGATTTATGTGTCGGCTTTACTGCTGAGGTTGGACTCTATGAATGGTGGCATGATGAAAGATTGATTTTTATGACTACTTTGCAGCTGAGATTGGAGACTATGACCCAGGAAAGCATCCAGAGGGCTACAGCTCCAAGTTCCAGTTCTTCCCCAAGCACTCAGAGAAGCTGGAAAGAAGGATTGCAGAGATTCACAAGACAGAGTTAATGTAAGTGTAACCTTTCCCCTCCTTTTTGCGTATGGCTCAGGAATTATGGAAAAGTCTCTTTAAGAATTCCCTTCTGTCTGCTGCTTGGACATTTCTGTGCTTCACTGTTGTGAGTGATGAGGGTTAGTGACAGATTTTCGTAGTGTACATGTCCTAATTTAAATAATTTAATTATTTAGTTTAACATTTTTTCTTGTCTTTGTTCTGATATTTGAAGTTTTGTGGGACAAAATCAGTAACACTTTACAATAAGGTTCAATTCTGTAACATTAGTGTGAAATCTTGGCCCTCATTGTTATTGGTCAGATCTGTTGTCAAAGCCGTAGGCCACCAGCAAGCAGCACTTTCTCTCCATGTTTACATGAGCAAGTCCAATTAGCTCACTGAATGCCCTTGCTGATAAACTGCCGAACAATCATGGGTTTAGTGCTGGATTTAGTCTATTAATTACTTGCAAGGTTGTAATTTGTCTTTAGAAGCTCTTGACAATTCTTTAATGGACAGCACATGAACATAAGACATTTAGGAAGCTACGGTCACACCAAACTTGATGATCCACCAAATAGGAGCATGATTACTGCTGCCCTCTGGTGGTGTTACTGTTCTGTGTTGAGAGCCGTCAAAGCTGCTAGTTGGTTCAGGCTTGGGGCCAGGATCTGATTTACGACATCCTGTGTCTTGGGCCTCTTGTGGAATTCTGGGCTCCTCAGGTTTCAGCCATGTTTGACCAAATCTTAGATTGTCTGATTCGGTCTGATATCCTACAGTGTTATTGTGGAAACTATGTTGGAAATGCAGAGGCTGCCTATTTAGATCTTTCAAAATGACCCGGTAAATCAATCCTTGAGTCTGTAAGCAGCCGCTTTCTTTAAGTCTTAGGGGTCGCTTTTCTTCTCTGATTTGTGTTGAAATACAAACCAGACGGTCTTGTTACATTACATTGAATGGGCAGTGCTGAATAAAACATGAATTGGTAAGAGGTTTCCTGGAGTGATGATACTTGAACCGTCTGGTTGGTTTGGTTTTGCTTTCTGTTTAGTGGCCACTAGTCATTCAAGTGTAAAGTGCCAAAATAGATGCATTTGTTCACATTCAAATTGGCATTATGTTTCTAGACAGATGCATTTTTTCCCTTTTATGTTATAGTGATTTTCCACTTTGCAGGATATGTTGAGTACAAAAACCACTAAGAATGTGGATCCAGTCCAATACCAATGGCACCAGTGTATCAGTCCTGAAATGTAATTGGTGACTCTGCTATGCTGTTGCTGTGGTCGTTTCACCATTGAATGACACAGACGGTGTTTTAATGTGTTGCTTTGCAGAGGTCAAACTCCAGAAACAGCTGAGCTGAAGTTCCTGCAGAAAGCACAAATGCTTGAAACATATGGTGTGGATCCTCATCCGTGCAAGGTTAGATGGCTCTATCTGACACATTTACAGATGGCATCCAAAAGATATTGTGTATTGTGTAAACATTTCTCAAACTTTTATGAACCAAGAGCCCTTTCATAATGTCAGAATGTTCAGGAAACACAGAAAAGATTCCCATTCAGATGCTGCAAGTCTCTAGAAGTCATGCCAGACAGTGCAATTTCATGACTTCATAAAAAACAAAAAAAATTAATTCCTGGTGATGTACTTCATTACTCACAAATTAATCCTTAAGAGAGATTGAATGATTAAAAGTCACAATAAAGACATTGTTACGAAGGACTGCTATTTCAAATAAATGCTGTTCTTTTGTTGTTCTTTATCACAGTTTCCACAAAATTTTAAGCAGCATAACTGTTTTCAACACTGATAGTAAATAAGAAATGTGTTTTGAGCGGCAAATCAGCACATTTGAATGATTTCTGAAAGATGATGTAATCTTGAAGACTGAAGTCATGGCTGCTGAAAATTTAGCTTTGCCATCACAGGAATAAATTACATTTGAAAGTATGTTAAAACAGAATAGTTTTTTCAAAATGTAATAATATTGCACAAGATTGGTTTTTTTTTGTGTGTGCCTTAATAAGTAATCAAATAAATGGAGACTTATTGAGCATAAGAGACTTCTTTCAGAAACATGACAAAAATCTTACCACTGCAAACTTTTGACCATCAGTGTATATACAATTTTTTTTTAGCATCAAACATATATATGAATGCTTATAGCCACAGACTTAATTTAGTTCATGAATTTATAGTCAGTAGTTTTATGTATTATGTCATGTATAAAACCACTGATATATGCTGTTGTTGATTTCATTAAATCTTTGTATGTGGGTCAAAGACGAAAAAGGGTTTAAGCATAAAAACAATACTGCTTTAAATTGTCCTTGTTCTTCAAGTCAACTTTTTTTTAGCATCAAACATATATATGAATGCTTATAGCCACAGACTTAATTTAGTTCATGAATTTATAGTCAGTAGTTTTATGTATTATGTCATGTATAAAACCACTGATATATGCTGCTGTTGATTTCATTAAATCTTTGTATGTGGGTCAAAGACGGAAAAGGGTTTAAGCATAAAAACAATACTGCTTTAAATTGTTGTTGTTTTTCCAAACAAAAAAATAAAAAGTTTTCTGTTTCATGTAATTGTATTTTTGTTTTTCTGAGCAAAGAATAAATATCATACATTTTCCCCTGATTTACAGAAGACACCCACTAAAATGTCATTCAGTGTAACAATCTTGTCAGGCATATTTCCAATAAAAATCAATTTATGACATATAAAAAAAAAAACGAATTACTTTCAACCCAAATACTAATTAGTTGTTATTTTACATTTTTAAAATTGGCCACTATCCTAGGTTTTGCCCATTTGTCAGTAAGAATTTTTTACTTATTTAAAACCCAATAAAATGTAATATGCTCACTTATTCTTTTATATATTTTAATATGTACACGTCAGAATAATCATGTTGTTTGAATTTTTACATAACTATAAGTGTTACACTGAATGACAATGGAACATTATTTAAACCAAATTTTGACATTTTATTCTTCAAAAACTTTGAAACCTTAAATGTAGACATTTTACTTGCATTTAATGTGCTTTCTATGGACATAAAATCACTTTTGTACATTTCTTTTGATGCGGACATCTTAACGTCTTTGACCCATGTATATATTCTGCAGATTTATGGATAATGAATGGGGTAATTGCAGCTTGAATCAAGGCCATTAAAATAATGTACTAAAAAGTATCCTCTATATCGCTTAGTTCTTTCAGTGAGGGTTTTTTTTTGGACTCCAGTTTGTGAAACGTCTATTGCCAGTATAATCTCAAGTAAAAGCCCAAGACTACCCATTTTGCTGCTGAACGTCAGATAAAGTAACCCTGAAAACAAAAGTATGAAGGTTCTGTTGTTATGATCACTTGCTGTACTGTGCTGTATCGAGTCTTCCTACTCAATATCTGCTTGTTGAGAAACGAAGGTGACGTGGTCCTCCTCTGTCGCTCTTCGTGACAGGATGTATCTGGTAACCCGGCTTTTCTCGCCTTCACTCCGTTCGGTTTTGTCGTGCTTCAGGGGAACAAGAGAGTCCATTTCCTCAAGTGGTGAGTGACTAATACTTGCCTCTTTTCCCGATTGAACTTCTATTGATGTATTCGGGGCTGAGCAAACACAGACATGCATACATGCATGCATCGTGAAGCTGAAAATAATGAGTAATTCTCGCCTAGCGACGGGCTCTGGGTATACAAGTCACAGCTGGTTTTATTATATTGTATTATACGTTCCCAGCCAAAAGGGCCCGGCCATCTGCCTCTTTCTGAGCCGTTAGAGCAGACAGGTGTCCAATTATCCTTCACCAGCTCTCCATCCAGAGGGCATGTTTAAAGTCATCTGGACACAACAAGTCTGTGAGGCCTGGCCATACAAAGAAAAGAGAAATGCATAAAATACTGAACCATTGTGCTGCCTGTCCTTTGTCTCAGGGTCTCGTTATATGTGGTTCAAGCTGTAGTGCATGTATGCTTCACAGCTAAAGTAAGAGTGAAGAAAGAGTGCAATTATTTCATCTGTGTGTTTATTTGTGAGAAACAAACAACAAAAACAGAATACTATATATTTATAGAGTTTTTCATGATGCACTGGAAAAAATGGCTTGTTCGTTTTAATTATTTATAATGAGCTCATGTAATTCAGTTTGTAAACATTCTTCATGAATAATGCATGATAATTGTTTACTGTAATAGCATCGTCTATAAGTAGTATGTGTGTGTGTGTTAATATATATATATATATGTATATGTATGTATGTATGTATGTATGGATAGAAAGATAGAACAACATGGACAGTGATGTTACATTAAAAATCACATAATTTTTTATGTATTATTCATGTAATCTCTCTCTCTGTTCATAATCATTATATTATAGTTACATAATTTACAATTATACAACCGCATAATATTTATTTTTTATAGCATTTATATATTATATATACATTATATACATTCTGAATTGATATACATTATAATAACCTAATATATGTATTCTTCTTCCACTTGAACAGGCACGAGGTGACCAAGCTGAAGTTTGAAGGAAAGACATTCCATATATATGCAAATCAGAAGGAGGTGAGAACATGAATTACTCCCAACATTGGTGAAGTCGAAGAAAATTACAATATACCAGATTGTCTTATGATAATGACACAGTCTGTGAAACTTTAATAATTCCCTTCAACGACAGTGCTGCAATAGTGCACCTTTAATGACTTCTTGTTATGCACAGGACAAAAAGATCATCTTGACATTCTTCGCACCAACTCCAGACGCCTGCAAGCACCTTTGGAAATGCGGTGTTGAAAATCAAGCCTTCTACAAGTGAGTTTTTGCACTCCTCCTTTCTTCGAGACACATATATTTGTTTGGTTAGACAGGTGAGATGCTTCTGAAAGGGCAACTGCACAATAAACAACAAGTTCCAGAAATAATTGATCCCTTTTTGGCTCTTCCTAATTGCGAATACTGTCATTTCATCTCCCCAGAGCATGATATTTAAGACTGGTAAATAAGCTGACTAAAGCCCTATTCGGACGGGACTAATTTTCTAAATGACGCTTGAGTTACAGATCTTATCACCTGACATCCGTGATTCCACGTATCGATTCGGATCTCCATGTTTATTACAGAAATGGGAGGGTCTGTTTTGTACATCTGGGCGTAGCAGAGATCACATGCTCTGTATGCATGCATTGCGTATAGTCATAAACTATAACATCAACTACAACAACCATGTTTAATTTGAGTAAGGATACATACCGTATGTAATTAAAATATTATGTAAATGAGTGCAGAAATGAAGGTGAGTAATCTTACCTGTCGTTGATATTACAGTAACCAGACTTAACAGTTTACGTGATCTGGCTCTTGAAAAACAGTAGGTAATTTACTCCGGAATTATTACTGAGGTTGTGTGAGAAAAACACAGACTTGGCAGGTTCGGACAGGATTAAAATCGCAAAGTAAGTCTGTGAGAAACACATTTCTCTAATGACAAACTGGAAAACTAGTCCTGTCCGAATAGGGCTTTAATAATGCAAGACCCTTCTGCAAGTGTCGTCTGGACACCTACGTCTAGATGCCGTCACTGTTTTTACCTCGCGGGGGTCATCTAATGGAACAGCCACGTGTTGAGAATGACCTTTACTGCGTGAGCAATGAGAGATGCGTTCTGCTAGCTCCTCTGGAGGGATGTCCGTGCCCATTTCAGTCACGGTTGATTGTACATGTCCTCAGCATGGGAAGTTTTTAAAGTGACGGTACAGCTCAAGGCAGACCGCAGTGTTACGCACAACACTGTGTTTGTTTCACAACACTGCGAGCCACCGCTGGTTTTTGTCTCTGTTTTATGATGAACGATTTTGGCTGACTGAGGCGACATCTTTGGAATGAAAGTCTGTTTCAGCACTCATCATGAAGTGTGGGAAAGCTCAATTTAGGTGAAGGGAATGGTGTAATCACTGATTTGGCAAGGCGCCTTATCAAAACTGAGTCTACATCGTATTTTAAGTCTGACTGAATTCATTGTGCTGGGGCAAAAAATTTTTTTAGCTGTAGTTAAAGTCTCCTAGAGAAGGAGAATTTGTGGCAGGTGAAGGCAGATGATAATTAAAAAGTGGGTTTCATGATTCACATAAAGGCCGTCTTTGGGGAAGGAGATTCCACACCTGGTGATGAAAAGCCTGAATCAAATGTTCACCAGAGACCGTCTGAGTCAGAACACTCAAGCTCTGCCTGAGGTTTCAGTCACTAGGAAGGTTAGAATATATGTCCTAGCTTTAGAAATAAAATAATTCTTTTAGCATGTCAGTGGGGTACAGTAGGTGATATGACAAGATCCGTCTTATAAAAAATGTTGCAGTAATTTTATTTAACTGTAATGTGATATACGGTTGTTTTGCCTGGAGTTCAACAAACTTATATTAAGTACTTTTGATTATATATTTATTTTTTAAAGAATTCTTAAAATAATTAAAATACTTCAAATATATATATATATATATATATATAAAAATTTAATACAATTGAAAAGTAGTTCATCACATTTAGGTAATTTTATTTCTTAATTTGGAAGTTCATGAATGCAAACTAAAAAATAAGATTTTTCATAACAATTGATAAATGTAAAGCAGTTTTTTTGCACAAATGCCAGATTTATGTAATTTTTAGTTAAAAACAAGGTTGTAAAATTTATATTGGAAATTTGAAGAAATTCTGGTATTTGAAGTCATGCATTGTAGGTAATATACACAAACATGAGTCCACACATCAATTACATTCTATTTAAATTTTAACATTTGTAAATAAACTTTCAGCTTCCCTTTCATGGGAACTTCGAACTGCGTCCTCTAGGGGTCATGCTGCGGATGCAAGCTTCAGACGAAGAAGTGAATGATGTGTAGCTCCCGGCACCTATTTATACTATAGTTGCACCGGTAATGACGTCATGGCTGTCGCCGGCCAACGAGTTGGTGTTTTTTCAATGTATGCTTCAGACACGGGTCACGACGAGGCGTTCCCCATAGCGACCCCTAGAGGACGCAGTGTCTCGTTCCCTACTCAGGGAACCATGGTTACATAAGTAACCTGAGACGATTTCTTTCACAAGTAGCTAATATAGTCGACCATAGAACACCAATTATAGAAACGCGTTTTTCACAGATTTCTACAGTTGCAGATTTGCCATAATATAACCAGTGGTGAACAAAATTTTTACTTAGTTACTGTACTTATGTACATTTTTCTATCTGTATTTGTATCAAGTATCTTTTTTATTTTGGGGAAACTTGTACTTCACTACATTTTAAAGCCTAACAACATACTTTGATATTTCACCACGCGATAGCAATGTCTGATTTGTGATGATTCTTTTCAATAAACCTGTTGAATTGGTACAGTACTTTTTACTTTTAATACTTGGGTACATTCATAACCAAGTACTTTTGTTATTTTTACTCAAAGTTGAAGGAGTATGTATACTTCTACTGGAGTGATGTTTTTTATGGTATCTGTACTTGAACCCCGATTACTTGTTTGTGCATATCGTCCTCCACTGCATATAACTGTAAATACAGATTCATAAAATGAATCTAAAAAAAAAAAATAACTAAAGAATATTAGAAAGTTTGAACAATTGATGACTGCAATGTCATATTTTTGCTTAAAAGAGAAATTATCCTTAATTCAAACTGTGTAGTTTAGAAATAGTGAGTTGTGTTAGTTATTTTGTTTGACTTTTTGTTTTACACAAATGTGACCCTGGACCACAAAACCAGTCTCAAGTCGCTGGGGTATATTTTTAGCAATAGCCAAAAAAACATTGTATGGGCCAAAATTATAGATTTTCATTTTATACCAAAAATTACCGCAAACACATGCTGGAGAGCCCCGCGCAGCACAGCATCGCCCCCTTCATGCTGTACCCCGCCGCAGGACTCTACATGTGAAGCACCTTTAGTGTGTGTGCATACCAGCTCTGTTACACTGTAACAAAAATTACATCAAGTTTACGGTAAAAAACTGGCAGCTGTGGTTGCCAGAATTATACCGTAAAAAATACGGTAGCAACATTTTAGGTTTTACTTACGAGATTTAACTTAAATGTGAGCCTGGGGCACAAAAGCAGTCTTAAGTCGCTGGGGTATATTTGTAGCAATAGCCAAAAAAACATTGTATGGGTCAAAATTATAGATTTTTCTTTTATGCCAAAAATCATTAGGATATTAAATAAAGATCATGTTCTACGAATATATTTTGCAAATTTCCTACTGTAAATATATCAAAACTTAATTTTTGATTAGTAATATGCATTGCTAAGAACTTCATTTGGACAGTTTTAAAGGCGATTTTCTCAGTATTTTGATTTTTTTGCACTCTCAGATTGCAGATTTTCAAATAGTTGTATCTCGGCCAAATATTGTCCTATCCTAACAAATATACCATACATCAATGGAAAGCTTATTTATTCAGCTTTCAGATGATGTATAAATCTCAGTTTCGAGAAATTTACCCTTCTGACTGGTTTTGTGGTCCAGGGTCACAAATGTGCATTTTTAGAGATTAATCATTCCTCTCGGCCCCTCGTCAGGTTGGAGAAGTCGAGCCAGGTTCGTATGGTGTCCAGCAGTAACCTGTTCTTCAAGGGGAGTCGTTTTCGTTTCAGGTAAGTGTGGACAGACAGACAGACACAGCACGGGTCACTGCCGATGGACCGCCACAGCCTCAGGGGTCCCTGCTTCAAAAACAGCCAGCTGTCCTCATCACGGTCACATAGAGGTGACTTGCTTTGGAGCCAATGCACCACAACCTGCTGCGGATGGAGCTGTTCACACAGGCCACCTATTAAACACAGACGTTTACTTAATAACGGCAATTGTAACTGTAATTGTAATTGTTGAATGGAGCCATCGGGGCAATTAAACAAACAGCACGGTCAATTATTATAGTTCTCAGGCTCGACAGACAGACAGACACAGCACGGGTCACTGCCGATGGACCGCCACAGCCTCAGGGGTCCCTGCTTCAAAAACAGCCAGCTGTCCTCATCACGGTCACATAGAGGTGACTTGCTTTGGAGCCAATGCACCACAACCTGCTGCGGATGGAGCTGTTCACACAGGCCACCTTTTAAACACAGACGTTTACTTAATAACGGCAATTGTAACTGTAATTGTAATTGATGAATGGAGCCATCGGGGCAATTAAACAAACAGCACGGTCAATTATTATAGTGGGCTCTCAGGCTCAAACACCTCATTAGGAAATTGATAACAGTTATTTTCTCACTCCTATGTAAGGAGACAGGCAGGATTTTAAGGCATTGAAGGACTCCATTGAGAGTTTTTGTTTAAAGAGAAGTAGTTCAGCCACAGCCTGAGAGGCAGAGATTGAGTTAAGAGAGGGGACTCAGTAAGGTTAATCTAATTCCTGAGCTTCATGGACTCTAGTAGCAGCGGTCACCATCTCTCACAGTCACAGGGATCACAATTCCCACCAAAATGCCAGCGGTTTGAACGTGACTGGAAACGTGGCTGTTTTATCCTCAATGGCTGAGCTGTTTTCTTTTGGTTGGTTTTTAGATGAATCTGGTCAGCCTCAACCAGGGTCTGAAAATAACACCCACCACCAGCCGTATATAGACAGTATGCAGGTACTTTTTTTCACAGTTGCAGGTCGTTTTGCTCATCTGCCTACTACTGGAATGAGTGACCTGTAACGTATTTCCAGTTAGTGAATATTTTAGCATGGTTGTGCAACTATTTGTGGTATAATATAATATAATATATATAAATGTAGTTTTTGGTTACAGTATAAATGCAAAGAGAATTTTTGATATTTGCTTTAGATATATTTTAGATATTTCTGATATAATATAATATAATAAAATAGTTTTTGGTTACAGTACAAATGCAAAGAGAATTTTAGATATTTGTTTTAGATATTTTTGATATAATATAATATAATAGTTTTTGGTTACAGTATAAATGCAAAGAGAATTTTACATATATTTTAGATACTACTTTTTTACAGCGCTTTTCATGATATAAATTCATACAATGCATGATACAAATTTCTACAATATACAGTAGCTTATCAGTGGTGACTATGTCAAGGTGATGTCCATATGGCAGAAATGCACAGTAAAAAATCATGCAGATAGTTAATGACATGTATTCAAACAAACACTATTAACAGCAATGATTATATGTCGCGATCAAACTTATGGCAAAATTTGGTAGTTTTGTATGTTGGTTCAGGGTTGTCGTCATCTGAGGTCCTCGGAGGGGTTGGCATCATCTCTTCAGGTGTTCGGTCATCTTAGATCTTTGTAAGGGCTGGATCCAGACTGAAGCTTGTGTAATTCCTTGTTACCTCAGGATGCCCATCCCGTGGCAGAAACGGAGAAGCAAATAGAGATATATTAGCACAGCTGCTGTTCAAACCAAGTAAAACACGATAATGTGTTCAAACCAAGCAAAGAATGATAATGTGCATTTGATCAGATATAACTGAAGTACAAGGTTATGAGATACATTATGTGAATGCTTGGCTAATGAGATGTTTCTTTAATCTAGATTTAAACAGAGAGAGTGTGTCTGAACCCCGAACGTTATCAGGAAGGCTATTCCAGATTTTGGGAGCCAAATGCAGAACTTAATAGGTAGCCAGTGCAGAGACTGTAAAATTGGGTTAATATGATCATATTTTCTTGACCTGGTAAGGACTCTAGCCGCTGCATTTTGGACTACCTGTAGCTTGTTTATTGAAGATGCAGGACAACCACCTAGCAGTGCATTACAATAGTCCAGTCTAGAGGTCATGAATGCATGAACTAGCTTTTCTGCATCAGAAACAGGTAACATGTTTCGTAGCTTGGCAATGTTTCTAAAATGGAAGAATGCTGTTTTTGTAACATGTGAAATGTGATTTTGAAAAGACAAGTTGATATGATTACTATGGAAGAAGTAACAGTACATCCGTCTAGATGCAAATTATAATCCAAGAGATTCTGTGTACTGTTTTTTTGGTCCAATAAGTAATATCTCTGTCTTATTCAAATTTAATAGGAGAAAATTATTGGTCATCCAATCTTTTAAATTTTAACACTGTTAGCATAGATAATTTAGAAGTTTCATCTGGTCTTGTTGATGTATATAGTTGAGTATCATCTGTATAACAATGGAAACTATTTTTCCATTGAATATAATATAATATAATATAATATATAAATTTTAGTTTTTGGTTACAGTATAAATAAAGAACAAGGGTTGTTTTGGTCCACTTAAAGAGGTCTTTATGCATATTTTCAGTTGCATATTTATGGGTATTTAGTTTGATAAGGGAAATTATGCCAAAATATGTCACTCTAGCAAGGGGAACTGGACACGCCAGTTGTTTTTGTTTCATTTCAGTGGAAGAGTAGCCAAAGAGGTAATGGAACAGAGTGCAAAAATTAAACGGGAACCTCCAGAAATACACAGGTATGCATGAGTGCCCATCAGTTAACTGTATAATTGCTCACACTGCAATTTTATTAACTGTATAATTGTTTACAGTGGGTCACATTCTTTTGGTGGCATCTTTTTTGTATGCATGCGTGCATGTCCAGTAAGACTGACTGATGTCTGTAGTTATAGGACGTACTGTAATGATAAATGGGTGTGTTGATACAGTACTGAGTGTGTATGTGGTCACAGGGCTGGCTTGGTGCCTAGCAGAAGCTGTCCATCCATCACGCATGGGCCGCGGCTGAGCAGTGTCCCGCGGACCCGCCGGAGAGCCGTACACATATCCATCATGGAAGGTGAGAGTCCAGTTCAACCCATTAACCTGAGTTCAGCTCTACGCTGAAACTCTGAAACCACAGACAGAGCACTACATGTCAAAGCACTCAATGGTTTGTAATATCATCAAAATGCTGTAGAAAATGGCCAACTTGTAATATAGCTACTTATAATTTTTAAAAAGAGGGCAATTTATGCCATTAAGACAATATAAAGGCACTGAAGACGTCATGAAAACTTTAGGATAACACTCTAATGAAAGTTATTGTAGGGAATATTTTAGCATGTTTTTGTAGCTTTAGATATTTTTTATTATGCATGTACGTATATATATATCTTTTTTTTTTTTTTACGCACACATGCCCTCACCAAAGTTGACAAGTTGACCGAATGCTGTAATATGAGGCTGAACCGGCCGTCACTTAGAGGAGTGGAGATGCAGGTGCTCCTGTCAGTCACACCACTCTATTTCTGTGCCAGCTGTTAACAGTCAGTACTAACACTTCGATGTGTCACCAGCTGTGCCATCTTGACCCACCCATCCCAGGCTTACCAGTGTCTGCCCACCCCTTCATTCTGGGTCTCATCTAATGAGCCCGACTGTTACAGTAGACTAGCATCACAACAGAGCACTGCCCACTCTTAACATGAGTACACTATACATAGACAGTGTAGTTAAGTCTCTGGTCACTATATCCTCTATGAAACTGTGATTCAACACAGAAAAGACCATTGTAAGATGTTGTGAGGAGCTCTTGTCTGTTGTGCGATCAGCTCAGAGAGCTGGGGAGGATAAGTCAACTATCCTACGTGCTGACTGTGAGTCTTCATGGAGTATTAATACCCTCATCTGAAAATAGACAGGACCTTTCTCGCCATTTAAGTCACTGGCTGTTGGAGGAGGGAAGGAGGTGAGAGGCCTGGGTGGGGTAGGATTTGCCACCACTGTCTTGGGTGCCTATTCTGCCGTTTACCAGCATAGCCAAGCTTTTACCCAGCAGCCCACGGTGGACGTAGGGCACCGGTAACAGGGTTTATACTTGTTCACATGCTCTCTGAAGAAGTTCGGCAGCTGCAGACGTTCACTTTTTGGAGATAAACATGGTGAAGTGCCTAATCCGCATCACCACCCGGGTGAATGTCCACCTGCGCATGATCAACCACTGCTATCGGGATGTAAAGGTTCGGGTGCTGAGTTTGGGGCCTCGTATGCTGATTATGTTTTACTGAAGACCTTTTTCAGTAAGATGTATTTTTTTCTGCTTTGTTTTGATGAAATCGGATTAGTTGGGTTAGAATAGAAACAGGCAGGTAATGGAATTTCTGTTGGTGTTGCTGCGGTGGTGTTTGTTGTCGAGCTTAAAAAGCTCTTTGAGGTGTGAAGTAGAGACCTGCGCGGGTCCCGCTCCTGCCCGCGACATTCATCTTTTGTCTCGCTCCTGCCCGCAAAATCCCACATAAAAGTAATCTATATCGATTTTTTTTCAGCACATCAAAGAAATTTACATTAAATGGTTCTGTAACATCTATGATCCACAACATCCCAGCATAAATGCTCCCGATAAAATATTTGTTATTTAGGCTAACCACTCATTCACAACATGATTCAAACCACTGTTATTTTTAACAGGGAATTATTTTAATGATATTCTAATGGGCCGCTTTGTGATATCACAAAACCCGGAAAACAAACGCTGTAGTCCAATGAGCCGTTCGTTGTAGTTTAGATAATTTCTATTTTGCGGGAGTCCCACGAATCATATTATTCTCCCACATCCCGCACACACACAAGTCTCTTCCCGCCCGCACCCGCACTCGCCCATCAAGAGTTGTCCCGCGCCGCACCCTGTTGCGTTGGGTCCC